GTGACCAACTGGTCAACTTCAAATTGCTTAATATTAATTATAATCCCAACAGGGGATTAAAGAAGAGATTAGAGAATCTTAAAAAACTCCAATCACAAGAAACACAAAACTATACCAGGATATATCACAGAAAAATTGCTTAAAAGCACTTATAAAACGTGAGAGGGGAGCCGGGGAGGGAGATTAAGGAAGATCGATGGTAAGAATTAACAGACTTCCCCTTAAAAACAACAAAAAGCAGAAGACAGTGAAGAAACAGACTAAATTTACCTTACTGCCTCAAACAGTAACAACAAAAACAGAATGCATGAAAAAAATGGTTTTAAAGATGCTGGATGCCAAGAATAAAAAACACGCATCTATTCGAGAGGAGACAATCTCTCAGAGGCGATCCTCAACATGACACCAGTTCACTGCCTCCAAAGTTTCCAGACCCTGACACAAGGAGAGAGAACTGCAATGGAGTCCAGAGTAAAGAAATGGAGCTGATAGTCAGGACAGGTTTGACTTCACAGGCCAGAATAGTAGAGAAAACAAAGTCTGACAGACGTCTGGGAGAGGGTCCTCTATGATTCATCAGTTCAGGAGAGAAGCATCTAAAAGGAATGAAGATAGGAAGGAACAGTACATGGGGCACATACATGAGGTGTAATTAAAAATACAAAGAGTGTTTACATTTTTAAAAATTTCTGAAGCAGTTCTGGAAGTTCTACTTTGTTAATATCTTTAGCTGTGCTGTTGTCGCTTCTCAGATGTCGCGATTCCTTCAAAACATTTACTTTTCAAGGTCATTTTAACTTTGTGTAAGAGCTGGAATTCATACAATACCAGATTTGGAGAATAACATGGATGAGGACACACCACAATATCTTTGCAATCATGCATTTCCACTGGATAGCTCTTGGAAAGGGCATTCACTGAATTCTGATCACACCTCTAGACACTCACAAAAGAGGGCTTCCAAAACTGTCTCAGAAAATGGCAAGAAGAATTGGATGAGTGTGTCTGTAACAAACAGGAGTACTTTAGGGGATTAATGGCAATGTGTCTTTTACTGTAACAAATTTTTAAATTTAAGCATCAACAGGGGACAGGAAAACAATAAAAGGTGGATGCAGGAGGATTTGGTAGCTCTTATCCTACTACTTTAAAAAAAAGCATTCACTGTATTTGTGGATTATCCCTCCATTTAGAGGTACCGCTTGTTTCTGCTACCTAAAGCATAACAACTGTTTGTGTGGGGAACTGCACAGAGTATTTGGAAAGTACTGATTCGGTGCTAGGGAGAATTTAGCTATAAATAAGTTTAATATTGTTTTTATTTAAAATTTTTTTGTGTGTGGAGACAAGATCTCACAATGCAGTTCAGGCTGGACTTTGCCTCACTATGTAGTCCAGGCTGGTCTTACACTCCTGGGATCGCAGGCGTGAGTCACCATGCTTGGTTTTATTTTATTTTTTTTCCTATTAGTATTTTGAAATGAATATTTTTTCTTATGTGATGCTGTCCCATGCATTGTAAGATGCTCAGCAACATTTCCTGTCCCATATCTACCATAGCAATAGTGCAGGAATCACAATAAAAAAATGTCACTGGACATTAGCAAATGTCCCTAAGGGGCAAAACCTCTGTTAGTGAAGAACCACTGCCATACACACTAAGTACTATTCTGTACTCACCTGACAAATTTTAAAAGCAAGAACTGAAAGTACCACACTTATTACACATAACTGCCTTCCACAATAAACCTCAAGATGATTTGTAATAATACAAAGTGGAGGATTTAGCTCAGCAGTGCTGCTGCCTACCTCGCAAGTGCAAGGTCCTGAGTTTGATCCCCAGTACAAAAAAAAAATTAGATAGTAATAAAAAATACTCAGCACCCAGAAAAGTAAAAAATACACTGAATAGAATTTAAAACAAAGAAGAAAATATTAGTGAACAAGAAGGCACAGCAAAATAAATGAAAAAAGGATTTGAAGGGAAAGGAAAAAAGATATCAGTGAGCTATGAGACAATTTCAAGTGGCCTAAAGGGCTCAAAAAACAAATTTGAACAAATATGGATGAAAACATTCCAAATATAATAAAAACTATAAACTCATAGCTCTAAGAAGTTAAATGAACTTCAAGCACCAAAAACGTGAAGAAAATACTATGGAATATCACAGAAAATTGATCAATATCAGTAATAAATAAGAGGTTTAAAAAGCAGCAAGGGTTAGGGAGGTGTTGCACACAAAGGGGAAAAAAGTAAAGATGACAGATTTCTTGTCAAGAACAATGTAAACAAGAAGACACTGGGACATCTTTCATGTAATGAGAGAGAAAAAAACCTGTCAAACAAGAACTGCAAGTATATTTCTGGCAAAAAAAATCTTTCAGAAATGAAGATGGAATAAAGATGATTTCAAAAGCTGAAATACATTATATATAGATCCAAACAGTGTCTTTCAGACTGAAGGATGTTACCAAACAGAAACCTGATTCTAACCAAAAGGAATAAAGAGTAGTAGAAATGTTAATTACATAAATAAATATATGCATTTTTTCTTAATACTGAAATCTTTTTAAAAGATATGTGACAATTCAAACAAAAATAATAACAATATGATATGGTGCTTATAAATAATGTACAAATAAAATGTTGTATGTTATGTGAATTATGTATTAACAGAGTTTGCTGTTGTTTTATAGTGCCAGGCATCCAACATAGGGCTTTGTGCAACCTAGCTAAGTGATTTGCCACAGAGCAACATTCTCAGCCTAAACAAAGTTGATTTAAAAAAAAAAAAAAAATTCAAAGAACTAAAATTTAAAAGTGAAATCATAAAGGCTAGGAAGAGGGAATTTGAAGTATAGGATTGTGAGGTCCTTACTATACATAAGAAATCATACAGTGTTAGTTCAAAAGAAACTCTAAGGCGTGAAAGATGTATATTACACTCCCGAAAACAATGGGGTGGGATGTTGAAAGGAAAATGGAAAAAAAAAAGAGGATGAAGAACAGATGGAATAAACAGAAAGCAAATATAATGAATACAAACCTAGATATATTGGTAATCACATTTAATGGGAATGGTATAAATATTCCAACTGAATGGTAGATGTCATGTTGGAAATGAAAAGAAGACCCAACTGTACACTGCCCACAAGAAATGCACTTTAAAGATAAAGACATAAATAGGTTAAAGTGAAAGGAAAGAAAAAGATATACCCCAAAAGAAAAACCAGGTTGGTGGTGATAATAGCAGATACAGTAAATTTCAAGCTCTCAGCAGAGTACAGATTTACTCTGACATTGTAAAAGAGTATTACTTTTATAACAGTACTGATACAGAAATAAAGACCTAGCAGCTGCTATCGTAGATATAAATTGGAATCCACTTTCTTATTTCCTTTGGCTGAATATGCTATACAAATCTAAAAAAACTCCAACTTTTCTTATTAATGTGACCAAAAATGATCACTGTATGCTTTAGACAAAACTGTACTTTTGTATAAATAAATAGTACTACCATAAAAGTTCTATTTCCTTGCATCTGGGTAAATGTGCTACACAGTACATAATTATTGAAACTATAACTTGTCTGCAAGATGTGTCTATTCTTCCCATAAAAATTCTATCCCCCAAAGTTGACTAGATGCATTACACTGTATAATCATTAAAATTATGAGGTTTTGTTGCAACTTGGCTCAATTCAGGGTTCAACTACTATATATTGTAACTATTATACTTTTTCATCAGAATACATTGTCATTTTCAGTCAACTTAAATAATATACATATACTACATACTACATCAAACTTTACAGCATGTGCTCTCTGAAAATCAGGCTCTCAAACTTACGATGGTTTAAAATAGTACATAAATTCACCCTAAAGAGCCACACTAGAAAACATACTATGAAGACTTCAAAGAAAAATTAGATCATTTTAAGAAATGACATAAAATGAAAATAATAAAGAGAAAAAAAGCTTCTATTCCTTGAAATGTTTTTTTTTTTCACACACTGGCAGAAGAAACAGCATGATTTTCCATTATGCAATCTAAGCATTTAATCTGACAGTTATAAACGGGTAGGATTTGCTACACAGAGGAATCAATAGCAATACTGCACAGCCTACAGCAGTGCACATAAACATGCTACCAGAGACATTAATACTAGACTGAAAGAAATATTTTCAATAAACATGTTCTTGTTGGATAATCAATTTTCTACATGTCTTACCAGATGTTACACATAACTCAGGTAGCAGAACGCCAACAGCTGTTATACCAAAACCATGTATTATATGCATATGAGATGCTTTTAATATTTCATAAATATCTATTTATTTGTGAGAAGCCATGTTTTAACTCATATTAACTAAAAACAAGGTAATCATGGGGTGATTAATTCAGCAGGATTTTTAGTGTAATCTATTTTAGAAATGAATTCTTAACCAATTATTTTTATGTCAGAAGACTTAATAATTCAAATTACATGCTGCCCTTATTCCAAGATTTAAGAGATTTGTCACAATCAATGTTTCTGAAATATTAAATTAAAAAGTGTCATAGTAATTACTGTGGAATAAACAGCAATTAAGATTTTTTAGGCAAATGAGCTCAAGCTATTTGCAATGAATATTTATATTAATATTTTTCATACAATGCATTCATCATTCATAACAAGTTGTCCAAAAATATAAAATATAAGTTTGTAGACTTACTTCCAAAGATCTCATGAAACTGATATAATAAAACAGAATTTTTTGCTTGGTTGATAAATATCTATTTAAAATGTATCCAAAGAGATAAAGGTAAATAATATAAGTTATGTTACCCATAAATAAACATCACATTTCTGTTATGTATTTATAATAGGGAATCTAATAATATGTTCTGAGGTGGGTAAATAATTTACATGGTAGTAAAAGATAATAACATGTATCAGTCAACACTACATTCTATAACGTTAGTATGACCCCAAAATATGAATTAAGTAAATACTTACAGCTATATAACAAACTCTTGCTTTTTCTACCAACATCCAGTTTTTCTCTAGATCAAGATGTTTTTCCTTTTTATAACAATTAGCAGCAGCAAGATTAGCAACAAGGGACCTAAAACACAAAGAAAAACCAATTAGATTTTATTTGTACTATAGCCAAAGTTGTTAGTATTTTTATATGGTTACTTACTGATACTTTTCTGAAACTTTTTGGGTTTCCAACATTTAAAAATTCCTCAAAATTGTCAGAGATTTTAAAATAAATGAAAATAATAATAATTTTGAGAACTTTATGAGACTTCCATGTTGTCTCTAAGATAAAAACAGCCACAATCAATTATCCTTCTAAACATTACCTAGTATTGTAAAGTTTGCTTTTGATACTAAAGATCTACTTTTAACATTTTAATAGTTCAAAGTATAATTAAGAAATAAAGCTACTAAGTCTTCTGCAAAAGGAAATCTATATAATCAAAACACCACTTATTTTTTTACAGTGGAAAATATCTTTATAAAAATAAGATTATCATATTATAATTAACTATGTAACCCAATGCTTTGCAAGCCAAATATGGGAGTAATTTTATAAAACATATAAATGTATACCATGCTAACTGTGAGGAATTAATTTGCAAAAAATTACATTTAAAGGGCTCGAATCAATTAAAATTACTTTCTAAAGCTGAAAACTGCCTGGGCTGTATCTGCACTTAAAATCTTGCCATAAGTACCACCTAGATAATTCAATTATAGCCTGACAATTAAACTTAATGAAATTAGAGGATTATGTACATTTCATCTAAATTATTTTTTTTATTCTGACTCAGAATTTACAAAATTACTTGCCTATTTTTCTGTTTTTCTAATTAAGTAGTAACAGTTATGGCTTATAAAAAAAAAGCCACCACATCATTGGAGACTTGGGTAATGTTTAGTTTCTTTTTAAAAGAAAAATCATTCTCTTCCCAAACATATCCTCATTCATCCATGTGCCAACTTATTATTGAACAATACATCTGTTTATGTTCAATTAAATGAGAGAAAATTAAATATTAGTCCTTTTTCATGTTGGATATTGAGTCTAGTCCTAATTTATAAAAATATTCTTGTAATCATGACTTGTGGAAACTTTTGATAAAAATGGCTATTAAATAAAGCAAACGTCTGGTGTCAGCTGCTAAACTTTGATAATAAAACTACTATTTGAATTCTGGATAATAGGATTAAGTTACCAGCCTATCTAAAACAACTTATAAGTTCTGTTATGTTCCAGAACTTGAATGAATAAGATAGTGTGTGTTTCCCCCCTAGTTATGATTTCCTACATCATCTGAACAATACTGATTACCATGCCATAATATAAGGATTCAAATCTGCTATCTGGGAGACCTAATCTTATCATAACTCTTCTTAAAACAGTAATTTTCCACGCCAAAATAATTTTGTCATTTTACCCTACCCTGAGTGGTTGTCACACGCAAAATTTGACCTACTTCTCATTACTGGAAAAACTGTACCTGCAGATTAAAGTTCCTTTTAGGAAAACCAAAAAGGGCAAAAGTCTAAATAAATATATTTCAGTATCTGAATAATGACTGGCTTAATTTATTGAAATCTTAATATCATAAATGTTCTCATACATAAAAAACAAAGTTAAAGGAAAGGTGTGCTGCCTTAATTATCTTTGAAAGTTACAATTATTTGATGACTAATCTCCATATCAGTACCCAGAATAGTACCAAATATCTAACTGTCTGTCTGTCTATGTATCTATCTATCTATCTGCTATCTATTTTTCCATCTGCCTGTCTATCTGCTGGAGTTCAAAATAGAGGGCGTGAAAAGGGGGGCGCTAAGTGTCTGGATTTTAAAAAAGGAGGGAAAGAAAGAAATGAGAAGGCGACAAGGAATAGAGAAGACAAAATATTTCAAACTTATAATTTCTAGTGAATCACTATCTAAAAAGAGATAATCTCTGATGATCTTACCAGATATTCTAGTTAAAAAAGCTATTTTGTTTGTCCTTTGCAAAGGAGAAAAAAGTCTATGCGGTATTAGTGGTACATGTACATACTCAGGGGGCATACCTGCATGTAGCTACAAAAGAACAAAAGAATAAATAGCACCAATACATGGAAGGTCCTGAGAGATACAAATTCACATGAAGAAGAACATTCTACTCAGCAAAGCTGTATAAAAATATATTTAGTTGTTTCTTGAGTGGTGCATTACCCATGACTAAAGTTGTTTAAAATGGAAGGATGCCTATCTGGGAGAAGTGTTTTAGATAATCTCATTAATAAGACTTGATTTACTTAATCCATGAAATTTAATTTCATGTTTTATATATGTAAAATGCACACACACATGCATGCACAGACTTCAATATTCCAATATCACGTTATGGTGAAAAGACCAATTTTTCTAATACAATTTTACAAAACAATTACCGATACAGTAAGACAATGAACAAAGAAATTTATTTTCCTGAACCTAATTATAAATGGTAGACAGAGACTAGAGACTACAATCTAAAACTTTGATTCCACTATCCCAAATGAATTCAACAGCAAGTTTAACAAAAGTAAATTGAAAAAACACAGAAAAAAATGATATAAAGAACTTATTAAACATTAAGGTGATTGTGAGCCTGGAGTCTAAATCCCAAATTTAGACTGGAGTTCAGATGTCACAAGTGTTTACAGAGACAACTAGTTCAGTGCTTCCCTCCGAGCTACACCAACCTACCTGTTGTCACCAGTGATGCACGCGGCACAAGTTCCTGTCGGCTGTTCGTTCTGTTCATAGTAATGCGCATCCACATGGGCTTCAGCAGCTTTTCTTTTCAGGATCTCTCCAAATTTATCGATCCCAATGCACCCGAAAAATGTTGCTGCTTTGTGTGGCTGCTGAATCATCCACTGAAAACAGGAACAAATAATTTAACGGGCAAGAAAAGCAGTAAACATAGCTAGCTCAGAGTTCTGACATGGATAGTGGCACAAAAGAGATGCTTTGTGAGAAATGAGCTGCTGTGAATGGAATTTCAATTCTGTAACTACTGCTTATGATAACACACTGGACAATACCTACCATGCAAAATCTAATTTTGCTACACTGGAAGAAGAGCATGACGACTAAGGACACAGATGTGAAAGGCATACATACAGACCTTAAGTCAACTGCTGGCATGATATAGGAAAATAACAGCAAGTGACAATATAAGCAGTACAGTATTGTCAGAAAATGCCCTGGCTCTACTGTGGACACTATCTTGTTTCAATCTTGCCTGTGGCACTTACTAGTTGTATGAGTAAGAATATCCCACTTCTATGCCTCGCTTTATATGTCTGGAAAATGGGGATATAATTATGAAATACCCATGAGAATATTGAAGATTAATTGAAATGATAAAAGCTAAATGTATAGTCACTGCTGAGCATAGTATCCAATACATAGTAAAGAACATATATTAGCTGTTATCAGGAAATAAATGAATTGAGATACCGCCAATACAAATCAATGAATGCATATACAAAATCAATCATACAATGATTACAAAATGGATAAATAGCAGAAATATTCTGCAGGGAGGGAAGGGAGGGGAGGAGAGAAGACAGAGAGAGGGAGAAAGGGGGAGAAGGACAGAGAGACAGAGAGAAAGAGAGAGAGAGGGAGGGAGGGAGGGAAGGAAAGAGACACTAGGGATATGGCTCAGTGTGAAGGTCCTGGGTTCAATCCCCAGTACTGCTCCTTTAACTCCTCTTCAAACTGCAATGTGTCACCAACATTTAACCGAAGGGTTTCTTATCATTTAGACATTTAATCAATAAACATTAAATGCATGTCTACAGATGACAGAAAGATGAAAATGAAAATGATCCTAATATAATGTCACATCAGAGTCACCAGGAAAGCAATCCAACCTCTTCATAACCTGGATTATGTGCCTTTTAGTTAAAATAAGGTACTCAGCTTCCTTTTGTTTATATATTAATAGTGCACCCTTTAAAGCCTGTTTAATTTCTGCTCTGGCTCTCAGGTGAATCAGGGCCTAGAATCATCTTTGTGCTGTAGACACTAGAAAAACCAAAATGAAATAACTACAGAATTTTCAGACAGTGGATAACAGGCAGGGCAGGACTGTGATCTCTGACAGAAAGAAAACCCTGACACTGTGCAGGCTCCACCAGGAGGCAACTTCCAGGCAGTGGTGTAGAAAAGCAGCAGCCTAATAGAGGTCGGCATTCTCACTGAAATGAGGGGACAGAGGTAAGGAGTAGGACATCCAGGACACTAGGAATTATGAAAAGGAATTCTGGAGAGGAATTTATCTTTGGAGCTCAAATTTATCTTTGTGGGGTTAGCAGGATACAGCCTGCTTAATATATGAAACAGCAAAGAATCTACATAAATCCTCTAGAATAAAAAAGAGAGTTGAGGTCTCAGGATTCCAGATTAATATAAAGAAGAGTTGAAAATAAAAATATTTTTAAAATGGCAGCAAAAAGCTGGGATTTAGCTCAGCGCCTGCCTTGTAAGCAATTGAAGCAATTGAATTGAATTCAATTCCCAGTACTGAAAAAAAACAAAAACAAACAAACAAAAAAACCCATCAAAAATTATATAGGGAAAAATTTAAGCAAATACATGAAAGAATTCAACATAGGACCGTTTTGAGGGAAAAAAATCTTTATAATTGGAGAGCTATACTATATATATGGACTAAAAAACCCACTATTTAAAAATGTTTTGGTTTTAAAGTTTTTTGTTGTTGTTTTTGTTTTATTGAGACAGGGCCTCACTATGTAGTTGAGATTGACCTGGAACTCACTATGCAGCCCAGGGTGGTCTTGAACTCATAGTGATCCTCCTGCCTCAGCCTCCTGAGTGGATATTTTTATTTTGAATTGACATAGTACTTGTAATATTTATGAGCTTCACAATCTTTAGATATTAACTCTTAAATTGATCCACAGATTCAATTAAATCCAAATCAAAATTTCAATAGGATCTTTGAGGATATTAAAAATCTAATTCCAGGACTGGGGATTTAGCTCAGTGGTTCGGTGGCCTGCCTTGCAAACACAAGGACCCGAGTACAATCCCCGGTACCAAAAAAAAAAAAAAAAAAAAAAAAAAAAAAAAAATCACAAAAAAAAAAAAAAAAAAAAAAAAAAAAAAAAACTAATTCCACAATTAATAGTATAAAGGAAATAGAATAGTCCAAAGTTAGGAGGAGGTAAGGCTTTATGAGAGAAACTAATGTTATTAAACTCCAATTTCTTCAAATATAAAATATGGGTAACATAACCTATGATCTTGTAAGGATGGAGTAAGAATCAGAACTAGACTAACAAGAAATAACTTGTCATTCAGCTTAGTAGATAACACTTATTATATTTGGATCACTTTTCTACAGAGAATGAAAGAACTTTATGTAACTATTCTTCACTGAAGATAGGAAAACTAGAGACATAATTGGTAACTTTGAATAAATGAATTAGTTTAATTCAAAGTAATAGAAATTGTACACACAGATTGTTACTAGATAACACTGAGAAGATTAATTATTCATGAGGGAATCAGAAAAGGCTTCTGGAGGTATATGACATTATCAACTGCTCTCTGAAGGATAAGTATGATTGATCAAAAATGACTAAGTCTAAGAAAAAAAGGCAGAGGCACACAGCATAGCATACATTTCCTTTCCTGTTTTAAGAATTATACTATAGTGCCTCTAAGGCAAAAGAAATTGCATTTGCAAAGTAGTTAGTTCCTATCTGAAGTATTTATTGAGTAGCAATTTAGTGCTTACTGAGCAAACACAAAAAAGCCCAAATTTTGGAATCAGAGTGATTACTACTCTCAATTCTGGTTCCAACTTTAATTTTCATAAAGAAACTGCCAGAAATCCACTTTTGCAAATTACATTTCATGCCACAGAAAGAAATGTAGCAATATGATAGTAAAACTAAGTTATCTGAAGCTAGAGGTTCATGTTATGTGGGTATAAGTCACTGTGTCTCACCTGAAAATGTACATGCCTTATGGACTCCCTGCGGTTTGCCAAAGCATTGCAAGGGCCCCCAGGAATGCAAAGGCTGGGAAACAACAGTGTAGAGTTAATAAAAACAAAGAAAAGAAAAATAAAAGCAATCAGGGGTACAGTGATAGAGCAACTGCGCAGGGAGAAAGAACCTAACAGGAAAGGTAAGCCTAGGACAGAAAATTAAACTTCATTTTAAGAAATTTGGGCAGCATTCTGTAGGTAGAAAGAAGCATACGAAGTTTTCTGAACAAGACTGAAATTATAAGAAACAATGCCTATTAAGAGAATCAGGAAAAAAATTACAACTGAATTTAAATAGGTACTGAATAAATGAGATAGTATGTTTCACACTGATTTTTTTTTACATATGAAAAGATTTGTACTAATATACATATATATTTTTTTGGGGGGGGTACCGGGGATTGAACTCAGGTACTTGCGCTTGCAAGGCAGGCCACCGAACCACTGAGCTAAATCCCTGGCCCTGATTTCCACTAATATTGACTTCATCTTCCAGAAGAATAATCTCTTCATTACCTAAATAAATTATTAAGGATAATGTATCTGTCAATGATACCAAAGACCCAGTAACTTCTAAGATAATGCCATACACATTAATTTGATTCACAACTGAATGGTGAAGAATGGCACCTAAATAGTAAAATGGCACGCAAGACAAGCCAAAGACAGGGAACTTGACACCAGGAAATCCAATGAGGCATTTTAGGGAAACTGTGAAGCACAACTAAAAGAAATGAAATGTCAAAACTTGGAAATAGCAACAAGCACACAGCAAAGGTTGATGAGGAAATCAAAACTGAAGTAGAATGACTAGAAAAACAGTATCTATCACACTGCATGTCAAACCTGTGGTCTATCTTTTACAAGTATTATATTGAAATACTTTTTAAAGGTTAGTTTTCTTACTTGTATACATCAACTGCACTTTCTATGTGGCCCCCCAAAATTCCTCATCACTCAAATAAATGGTGGGGGGCACAGGCTGGACATACCTGAGAGTCTATCTTTTTTTTCAATGTTACATCCCCTTCCTCATTAAACAATTCAATTTCCTTTGTTGCCAAGGATCCTATTAATAAAGGTCTCTAAACAATCCTATTATCCGAAACAATGGTTCGTGTGTGTGTGTGTGTGTGTGTGTGTGCGCGCACGCGCGCACACATAATATTTATATGAACCTTTTTCTTAGAACAGACCTTGGGAAATATGCATAGTAGAAAAAAAACATACATTTTAGACTTAGATGTATACAAACTCATCTAGCCACGTGCTGCCAAATAACCTACTCCATCACAAATTGTTTACTGCAGAAATACTGCAAAGGTAATACAAGAAAAATACTTATGGCGGTTTTTACAGAATACTGATGATGCTAAAGAGGGTACTGGAAGAAACAACTGAGACAAGATGTCTTGTCTTCATCCAAATCACTCTATTAATATTTTCGATCACCTACTATTTGACATTATTGTAATTAGTAGTGGATAAAGTAGCTTCTCTGTAGGCTTCTTTCTTCTCTTCCTCTCTTAGTGTTCCTCAGGTCTAGATCTAAGAATTTCCTGTTGTCTATACAAAGCACTTTTCTAGATCTGATCTAATCTAATCCCGTGATTTTAATTACCATCCGCATGCTCAGCCCCTTCACCTCTAATTTCAGTTTAGACTAGTCATAGAAGACTGACCTGAATATCCAAATACCTCACTGAACCTTACTCTTCCTAGTTAAGCAACACATTTCTGCTTCAATTTCCATTATCACCACTTGGATCCAGGCAGGCATTTCCTCTCAATTAGCACTACTGCAAAAGCTCCTTTTAAATTTTTAAAGGTGAAATATATTCATATAAC